GTAGTAGGTTGGTAGACAGCAACCGCCCAGGGAGGTACTACCGTCCTGCCAAGTGAGCAAAATGAAAGCCTGTAATTGTTTTACATGATGGTAGGATTGCTGGTGTCCTTCTTTCTGTCTCATAAATATGCAAGATTTCAGGTATGTCTTGCTACTTCTACTTACACTTAGGTCACACTACACATACATGTACAAGCATATATATATACACACCCCTCTGGGTATTCTTCTATTTCCTTTCTAGTTCTTGTTCTTGTTTATTTCCTCTTATCTCCATGGGGAAGTGGAACAGAATTCTTTCTCCGTAAGCCATGCGTGTTGTAAGAGGCAACTAAAATGCCGGGAGCAAGCGGCTAGTAACCCCTTCTCCCGTATAAATTACTAAATTTAAAAGAGAAACTTTCGTTTTTCTTTTTGGGCCACCCTGCCTTGGTGGGATACGGCCGGTGTGTTGAAAGAAAGAATAATAATAATAATAATAATAATAATAATAATAATAATAATAATAATAATAATAATAATAATAATAATAATAATAATAATAATAATAATGGAATAGTTTTAAAAATGCAGTATTAGAATATGGGGCAGAAGTTTGTGGTTATAGGAGGGTGGGGGCAGGAGGAAAGAGGAGTGATTGGTGGAATGATGAAGTAAAGGGTGTGATAAAAGAGAAAAAGGTAGCTTATGAGAGGTTTTTACAAAGCAGAAGTGTTATAAGAAGAGCAGAGTATATGGAGAGTAAAAGAAAGGTAAAGAGAGTGGTGAGAGAGTGCAAAAAGGAGAGCAGATGACAGAGTGGGAGAGGCACTGTCAAGAAATTTTAATGAAAATAAGAAAAAATTTTGGAGTGAGTTAAACAAGTTAAGAAAGCCTAGGGAAAGTATGGATTTGTCAGTTAAAAACAGAGTAGGGGAGTTAGTAGATGGGGAGATGGAGGTATTAGGTAGATGGCGAGAATATTTTGAGGAACTTTTAAATGTTAAGGAAGAAAGAGAGGAAGAAAGATGGTATACCTCAGGGAGGTATACCATCTTTTAGGAGTGAAGAAGAGCAGAATGTAAGTGTGGGGGAGGTACGTGAGGCATTACGTAGAATGAAAAGGGGTAAAGCAGCTGGAACTGATGGGATCATGACAGAAATGTTAAAAGCAGGGGGGGATATAGTGTTGGAGTGGTTGGTACTTTTGTTTAATAAATGTATGAAAGAAGGGAAGGTACCTAGGGATTGGCAGAGAGCATGTACAGTCCCTTTATATAAAGGGAAAGGGGACAAAAGAGACTGTAAAAATTATAGAGGAATAAGTTTACTGAGTATACCAGGAAAAGTGTACGGTAGGGTTATAATTGAAAGAATTAGAGGTAAGACAGTGAAGGATTGCGGATGAGCAAGGAGGTTTCAGAGTGGGTAGGGGATGTGTAGATCAAGTGTTTACACTGAAGCATATATGTGAACAGTATTTAGATAAAGGTAGGGAAGTTTTTATTGCATTTATGGATTTAGAAAAGGAATATGATAGAGTGGATAGAGGAGCAATGTGGCAGATGTTGCAAGTATATGGAATAGGTGGTAAGTTACTAAATGCTGTAAAGAGCTTTTATGAGGATAGTGAGGCTCAGGTTAGGGTGTGTAGAAGAGAGGGAGAATACTTCCAGGTAAAAGTAGGTCTTAGACAGAGATGTGTAATGTCACCATGGTTGTTTAATATATTTATAGATGGGGTTGTAAAAGAAGTAAATGCTAGGGTGTTCGGGAGAGGGGTGGGATTAAATTATGGGGAATCAAATTCAAAATGGGAATTGACACAGTTGCTTTTTGCTGATGATACTGTGCTTATGGGAGATTCTAAAGAAAAATTGCAAAGGTTAGTGGATGAGTTTGGGAATGTGTGTAAAGGTAGAAAGTTGAAAGTGAACATAGAAAAGAGTAAGGTGATGAGGGGATCAAATGATTTAGATAAAGAAAAATTGGATATAAAATTGGGGAGGAGGAGTATGGAAGAAGTGAATGTTTTCAGATACTTGGGAGTTGACGTGTCGGCGGATGGATTTATGAAGGATGAGGTTAATCATAGAACTGATGAGGGAAAAAAGGTGAGTGGTGCGGTGAGGTATATGTGGAGTCAAAAAACGTTATCTATGGAGGCAAAGAAGGGAATGTATGAAAGTATAGTAGTACCAACACTCTTATATGGGTGTGAAGCTTGGGTGGTAAATGCAGCAGCGAGGAGATGGTTGGAGGCAGTGGAGATGTCCTGTTTAAGGGCAATGTGTGGTGTAAATATTATGCAGAAAATTCGGAGTGTGGAAATTAGGAAAAGGTGTGGAGTTAATAAAGTATTAGTCAGAGGGCAGAAGAGGGGTTGTTGAGGTGGTTTGGTCATTTAGAGAGAATGGATCAAAGTAGAATGACATGGAAAGCATATAAATCTATAGGGGAAGGAAGGCGGGGTAGAGGTCGTCCTCAAAAGGGTTGGAGAGAGGGGGTAAAGGAGGTTTTGTGGGCAAGGGGCTTGGACTTCCAGCAAGCATGCATGAGCGTGTTAGATAGGAGTGAATGGAGACGAATGGTACTTGGGACCTGACGATCTGTTGGAGTGTGAGCAGGGTAATATTTAGTGAAGGGATTCAGGGAAACCGGTTATTTTCATATAGTCGGACTTGAGTCCTGGAAATGGGAAGTACAATGCCTGCACTTTAAAGGAGGGGTTTGGGATATTGGCAGTTTGGAGGGATATGTTGTGTATCTTTATACGTATATGCTTCTAAACTGTTGTGTTCTGAGCACCTCTGCAAAAACAGTGATAATGTGTGAGTGCGGTGAAAGTGTTGAATGATGATGAAAGTATTTTCTTTTTGGGGATTTTCTTTCTTTTTTGGGTCACCCTGCCTCGGTGGGAGACGGCCGACTTGTTGAAAAAAAAAAAATAATAATATAATAATAATAATGTCATTTTTAGACATTTTTCATAATTTTTTCATATGTTTGTGCCAAATGCTTCAAAATACAAACAGGTAACCCTCTGGGTTTCTGTAGGCACTGGGAGACCACAGCTATCTCACAGCCAACCAAGGATCAAAAGGAAGAGGAGGTGTGCCGCTCTGAGTGACCGCAGCAGACCCTTGGGATGTGTAATTCTGTCTTATATTGCACAAATTTCTTACACAGTGCCTCGCCCAAAGAGACAGTACTCGCATATAATCAGCAAGAAGCTCAGGAAGTGATTAGAAACTATGAAAAAAGCTAGAGAAACGAAGAAGGCAGCAGCATAGAGTGAGGCAGCTGGCCGCCACCACCACCACCACTATGGCCACGGCTGCCACCACCACCACTGTGGCTGCCGTCACCACCAACACCACCACTGTGGCCACTGCCACCACCACCACCACCCCTGTGGCCACTGTGATCACATCTGTCTTGACCACACTTGTGGTAACATATGTGACAACCTCACCACTAATCATAGATAAACACAAGCTAGGTGTAGGGTTATGGACTGGGAAGATACTAGAGTGGGAGAGTAAACGGCGGATGCTTTCTGCCGCTGCCGGAGTCGCCATCACTTGCCATATTATGGCCTATTTTATTCATTCCAGAATATATATCATGTTTCTATGTTATTAATACAGTGGAATCTCTACTTGCAAGTTTAACCTGTAAACGGTCCAAGAAGATCTATGTTCACATGCGTAGCGCTCCAAAAGTAGATCTACTTTTTTTTTACATATTTTCAAATATAACAAAAAAAAAATAATGTCAACCCATTCATATTGGAATGTTTACTCTTGAATTGTTTACTCTGAAACAGCCAAGCAATGGACCATTTCTCCTAGGTTGAGCTCTATTTCAAGGTACTTTTCATCGTGAAAGCAATTAAAATCATATCTATTTCTGTAATATATCTTCCATTCTATCAAATGAGACCAAAAAAATGAGAATACAACCATAAAAACCATTCGAAATTATCACTAAGGGGTGGCTAATTGCTGGGAAGTAAACTTCATTATTTATGCTTAGATTTCTTTCATTTTTGGTGTACATTAAGAATCAACTTTCCATTATACATTGCCCAAGTTTCAATAAGATAGTCCAACAAACATGTGAGATACAATTCCTGAGATCAAGAGCAAGAGCCCCTCACCAATGTCAAGAAACCCGTCTTGAGGTCTGCTCGCTTGAAGAAATTTTGCTCACGTATGGAAGCAAAAAATCGACCCATCGACTGCTCATATTTGGAAAAACTCGCACGTGGACATGCTCGCAAGTAGAGGTTCCACTGTATTGTTTAATATGTCATATTAGATGAATTGTGATAGATAACTAAGCCACAGAGTTGATATTAACATTATTTTGTCATGCTTCCTGAGAGGCTGGAACGGATTAATTGCATTTCAATTAAATTAAATGAGGAAAATTGACTCAGCATACGAACAAATCTGGATACGAACAACATCATGAAACGGATTAAATTCGTAAGCCGAGGTTCCACTGTATTAGTCAGAGGGCTGAAGAGGGGTTGTTGAGGTGGTTTGGTCATTTAGAGAGAATGGATCAAAGTAGAATGACTTGGAGAGCGTATAAATATGTAGGGGAAGGAAGGTGGGGTAGGGGTCATCCTCGAAAAGGCTGGAGGGAGGGAGGGGGTAACAGAGGTTTTGTGGCAAGGAGCTTGGACTTCCAGCATGTGTGAGCGTGTTATATAGAAGTGAATGGAGACGAATGGCTTTTGGGACCTGACGAGCTGTTGGAGTGTGAGCAGGGTAACATTTTGTGAAAGGATTCAGGGAAACCGGTTAGCCAGTTTGGAGGCACTTTTGAACTGTCGTATCTGAGCGCCTCTGCAAAGACAGCGATTATGTATGAGTGAGGTGAAAGTGTTGAATGATGATGAAAGTATTTTTTGGGGGGGATTTTCTTTCTTTTTGGGTCACCCTACCTCGGTGAGAGATGATCGGTGTGTTGAAAAAAAAAAATTCTATGTACAGTATATCAGTACTTACGCCATGTCCTCGACTTTTCTGTTATAACAGAGATCTGGCCTGTTTCATCGACAATGCGGTTCTGCGTGTTATCTGTTCGGTCGGCAATCTCATCCAGTAACTCTGTTGAAGACATAAAATAAATCAATAACCAGAGTTCATACAAATGAAAAGACTAAGCTCTCTTCCAGAGTAACTGCAGAAACAACAAACTTGGTTTAAAGTTCAATAAACCTGAGCCTGCTTATATTTATCCATTTCCCCCATTAACAATAATGCTTTCAGGTATGATTTATGATTTGGGACATTAGTGCTATCGGTCTGTAATTCTTTGCAATTGATTTAATGCTACTCTCATGGAATGGGGCTATATCTGTTGTTTTCAGTGAGTGTGGGATGACCATTTATTTATATAGAAAATTATTTGGGTAATACTATGTATTTATGAGTCATACAGTACCTGGGAAACAGAAGGCAACCAGGTTTGATCCAAGGAATAAAGTAATAAATTCTTAGATTAAGAGCCCTTCAGATACACTAAAATGGCATTAAATAGATATACTCCATGGGAAAATGGAAAAGAATCTTTCCTCCATAAGCCATGTGTGTTGTAAGAGGTGACTAAAATGCTAGTAACCCCTTCTCCTGTATAAATTACTATAAGTAAAAAGGGTCGCCCTGCCTCAGTGGGAGACTGCCGGTGTATTGAAAAAAAAAGTAGAAACAAAGATTTGTACATGATTGGAACCTACACTGACATCACTGGTGGCATTTCCTGCCCTCAAGTCTCACTGTGTGCTGTGCATAAGTAGCCCAACATTTGATGCCAATTAATTGTACCAAACAATATCTCAGTACACAGTGTCATCCAGTACCAAAATGGTGAGTGTACTGTGGACTTTGTACAGCACATTGTCCCATAACTGTTTGACTACTTTTATATGTAGATATTTGATTTGAAGGGATTTGGGAAAAACCAGTTAAGTTGACTTGAATCCTGGAAGTGGGAAGTACAATGCCTGCACTCTGAAGGAGGGTGGAGATATTTGTAGTTTGGAGGGGCATATGAACTGTAGTATCAGTGTGCCTCTGGCAAGACAGTGATGGAATGAATGATGGAGAAAGTGCTTCTTCTTTTTCGGGTCACCTCGTATTGGTGGGAAATGACCAGTGTGTTAAAAAACAATTTTATTTTACAATGAATGATAATACTATACAAACAGAAATATGAAGTCTATAATTCATGAATGAAAAAATGAGAAATTTTTTCATAGTTCCCAAAATGAAGAATAAAGAGTGACTGAACCAAATCAATATAGATACATCACCTAAATTATTGTTTTAAAGTAATGTGATGACAGTTATGACTACAGGTCGGCCATCACTAATCCGGCATCATTGGGACCTGTAGTGTGCCGGATTTAGTAAGTTTGCCAGATTACAGAGTGGTTAGGTTGGAATACACTTAATTAACCTATCAAAAGAGACTCTTTCTGTTACATCTTCCTTATTTTCGTCACTACTTTCTCCTCCACTGGCTTGCTACTGTGGATTTACAACCATCTGCACAATTTCTGAGTCAGTGTATAATGATGAAATTTGAGTCAGTATAATGATTTGAGTCAGTATAATGATGAAATTTGAAATTATGCTAGCCGAAATTAGTGTCGGATTACTCGTGGAACTGGATAACTGATTGCCGGATTAGTGATGGCCGACCTGTACTACCTCACAATATCTTTGAATAATTGTTGTCTGTCATAAAACTAGATATAGTAGGGCCCCACTTAAATGGCAGGTTAGGTTCCAGGCTACCGCCGTAAAGCGGAAATTGCCATAAAGTGGAACACCCTTTTTTTCCACTTATAAATGCATATAAATACAGTGGAACCTCTACTTGCGAGTTTAATCAGTTCCATGACCTTGCTCGCAACTGGATTTGCTCATTTGCAGAGTCAATTTTCCTCATTTAAATTAATTGAAATGCAATTAATCCGTTCCAGTGGAATTCTGTACTTCAATAATTTCGCTAATATCAACTCCACGGTTTATTTATCCATCTCACTTCATCTAGTATGACACAATAAACAACATAAATAACATAGAAACCTGATATATACTCTAAAATGAATAAAATATGTCATTCACGTAGTGGTACGGGCGGTGTCGGCGGTGGACGAGAGTTTGTCTGGAGACTGGGCAAAATACTTCATGAATAATTTCGCTAATATCATCTATACAACTTATTTATCTATCACAGTTTGTCTAATATGACATAACGAACAATATAAATAACACAGAAACATAATATATACTATAGAATGAATAAAACACGTCATTCATGTAGTGGTATGGGTGGTGTCAGAGGCCGACAAGAGTTTGTCTGGAGACAGGACAACATACTCCTTGAATATTTCGCTATCAACTCTACAGCTTATTTATCTATCAAAGTTCATCTAATATGAAATAATAAACAATATAGATCACATAGAAACCTGATATATACTCTAGAATGAATAAAATATCCCCTTTAACAGTGGAAGCGGCCACAACCGCTCCCTCTTTGTTGTGGTAAACACTGCCATCTAGTGACAGCCTTTTGAAGCTGTCTATTATTATAATTATTATATATAGTACATTATTATTATACATGTATATGTATTATTATTATACATATTATATTATTATTATTGTATTATTATACTATTATTATTATACATATTATTATTATACATATCATTATCATTATTATTTCCAATTTCCAATTTCCAATAAATAAATAAAATAAATAAATAAAGAATTAAGAGTAAGACGGAGAATAGGATAGCAGATGAACAAGGAGGCTTTAGGAAAGGTAGGGGGTGTGTGGACCAGGTGTTTACAGTGAAACATATAAGTGAACAGTATTTAGATAAGGCTAAAGAGGTCTTTGTGGCATTTATGGATTTGGAAAAGGCGTATGACAGGGTGGATAGGGGGGCAATGTGGCAGATGTTGCAGGTGTATGGTGTAGGAGGTAGGTTACTGAAAGCAGTGAAGAGTTTTTACGGGATAGTGAGGCTCAAGTTAGAGTATGTAGGAAAGAGGGGAAATTATTTCCCAGAAAGTAGGCCCTTAGACAAGGATGTGTGATGTCACCGTGGTTGTTTAATATATTTATAAGATGGGGTTGTAAGAGAAGTAAATGCGAGGTTTGGTAAGAGGCGTGGGGTTTAAAAGATAAAGAATCACACACAAAGTGGGAGTGTCACAGTTGCTCTTTGCTGATGACACTGTGCTCTTGGGAGATTCTGAAGAGAAGTTGCAGAGATCGGTGGATGAATTTGGTAGGGTGTGCAAAAGAAGAAAATTAAAGGTGAATACAGGAAAGAGTAAGGTTATGAGGATAACAAAAAGATTAGGTGATGAAAGATTGAATATCAGATTGGAGGGAGAGAGTATGGAGGAGGTGAATGTATTCAGATATTTGGGAGTGGACGTGTCAGCAGATGGGTCTATGAAAGATGAGGTGAATCATAGAATTGATGAGGGGAAAAGAGTGAGTGGTGCACTTAGGAGTCTGTGGAGACAAAGAACTTGTCCTTGGAGACAAAGAGGGAATGTATGAGAGTATAGTTTAACCAATGCTCTTATATGGGTGTGAGGCATGGGTGATGAATGTTGCAGCAAGGAGAAGGCTGGAGGCAGTGGAGATGTCATGTCTGAGGGCAATGTGTGGTGTGAATATAATGCAGAGAATTCTTAGTTTGGAAGTTAGGAGGAGGTGCGGGATTACAAAACTGTTGTCCAGAGGGCTGAGGAAGGGTTGTTGAGGTGGTTCGGACATGTAGAGAGAATGGAGCGAAACAGAATGACTTCAAGAGTGTATCAGTCTGTAGTGGAAGGAAGGCGGGGTAGGGGTCGGCCTAGGAAAGGTTGGAGAGAGGGGGTAAAGGAGATTTTGTGTGCGAGGGGCTTGGACTTCCAGCAGGCATGCATGAGCGTGTTTGATAGGAGTGAATGGAGACAAATGGTTATTAATACTTGACATGCTGTTGGAGTGTGAGCAAAGTAACATTTATGAAGGGGTTCAGGGAAACCGGCAGGCCGGACTTGAGTCCTGGAGATGGGAAGTACAGTGCCTGCACTCTGAAGGAGGGGTGTTAATGTTGCAGTTTAAAAACTGTAGTGTAAAGCACCCTTCTGGCAATACAGTGATGGAGTGAATGATGGTGAAAGTTTTTCTTTTTCGGGCCACCCTGCCTTGGTGGGAATCGGCCAGTGTGATAATAAATATAAAATAATAATATTATTATACATATTATTATACATATTATTATCATTATTATTATTATTATTATCATTATTATTATTTTTATTATTATTATTATTATTTAAATAATTTGTAATTTTTATTCACACAAAAAATATAAGATTTACTGTTATTTCTCATTGCAATAATTGTATAAATAATGTCAACCCATTCATGACTGCATACTGGAATGGACAGTGATGTCATTTGTTTACTCTTAAACACAGCCAAGCAATGGACCATTTCTCCTATGTTGAGCTCAATTTCAAGGTACTTTTCGTTGTGAAAGCAATCAATATCATATCTATTTCTTTAATATATCTTCCATCCTATCAAATGAGACCAAAGAAACGAGAATACAATCATAAAATCTATATGAAAATACCGCTAAGGCGTGGCTAATTGCTGGGAAGTAAACTCCATTATTTATGCTTAGATTTCTTTCATTTTTGGTGTACGTTAAGAATCAACTTTCCATCATACATTGCCCAAGTTTCAATAAGATAGTCCAACAAACAAATGAGATACAATTCCCGAGATCAAGAGCAAGAGCTCCTCACCAGTGTCAAGAAACCCGTCTTGAGGTCTGCTCGCTTGTAGAAATTTTGCTCACGCATGGAAGCAAAAAATCGGCCCATCGACTGCTCATATTTGGAAAAACTCGCACGTCGACACGCTCACAAGTAGAGGTTCCACTGTACTAGATAACAAGTTTACACTAACATATATTAAGTTAGCAATACAACTAGGCATTAAAAAACAATAAAAAATTAAAATACACATATAGTACACTCATTACTTACCTTAAAATATCTGTAGTCTTAATCTAGGG